GACATAAGCTAGTGGTAGACTATATATAACAGAAGACTATAGAAATGTTTGTTTCAGTGGGACTCAGAATTAATCACCAGACAGTTGAAAACTATTAGGAAACTCCCAGAGTGACGCATCTGGGTCCATGTCTCACTTAAAGGAATGTAGAGTGACACCTCTTCTTTGCCCTTGAATTCAGAGTTTTTTCTTAAATCACACATATTTCCATTCAGTTGTATTCAGCACTCTCTGTACATTTATTGTTATCTCAAATATTTATTACTCTTTCCAAACCCATTTGGTTAGAAAGTATTTTCAACTTGTACATAATGAATTTCTCATTCCTGTTGCTGATTGTAACAATTCAAATATCAATTAGAATTATTCACAGTTCTTATGTTAATATGTTAGTAACAATGAAATTTATTGTCCAAAAATATCATCACAGGAGGCTTTTTCTAAAGGGGGGGAAATTTAACATAAATGAGAGTGTCTTCTTATGGCTGTGGAAAGTATTCACACATTGAGTTTTTTCTTGTCTCTCCTTCCCACCAAGTGGTGGTTTCTGTAGATACAGAAAGGAACAGCGCTACAGGTATTCAGCTTTTGTTGGTTTGAAATAATTATGCTAAACACACTGAATGTAATGTAAGACACAGTTGGGGACTTGACAACTTTTTATTGAGTAAGAGACTAAGGTAATGGGTGGATGGATGGTGAGGTTTCTTTGCATTCATTCAAAGTCCGCTATGAAAATAGGTAAGGTCCTTAAGTGCAAAACAGAATTTTTAATTATCTCATTGTATTAAATACCTTAAGTTATATGAAGACTTTGCTATAACATTATCTCTATGCAGGTAATTCAAGTAATTTTAGGGATTTAGGATTAGACTAGGCTCCATTTTAATTTTAGGACATTTACCCATTGGAGTAATAAAACGTGTACAGATGTTGTGTCACCTCTGAGACGTGAATCCTAGCGATAGTATTAGCAGGTTCCAGAATCTATGTAAAGTACCATTTTTTCAAAAAATTACATTTCATGGCTCTCACCAGCAGAAATATTATTTTTACTTCACAAGTACATACACTGAGGCAAAAACTTCAGTGACTTTACATTTTGACTGTAGGATGTGAAGTGAGATATACTTGTGTAAGATTGTTATTCATTAAATAAAAAGCATGATTGCACATTTAACTATCTACGCAGTTTTACATAGAAGCCATATATGTGCACATGTAAATGTAGATGTCGCTTTAAGATAGTAGTAAGTCGATTTTCATGTATCCATCGCCTAAGTAAAGAAAAGGTTGTGACCTGAAATTAATATAATATTGTATGTCAACTGTAATTGAAAAATAAATTTAAAAAACAGACATGACAAATATGCTCCCAAATTCCTTGCATAAGTCACAGTTCCTACTTAGCTCTCCCCCACCTGAGGTAACTCCTGTACTGAATCTTGTTTTTTGTCATTTCCTTGCTTAAATAACCTGTTAGCTTAGTGTGATATTGAGCTTTACATAAATGAAATCATACTCTATATATTCTGTGATTTTTTTCTTTCAATATTATGCTTCTGAGGTTCATAGACAAATATGGAGTTGGAGTTCATTTACGCTGTCTTATCTTTTATTGCTTGAACACAAGTCACTTTTTTAGTTCATTGTCCTGATGAAATTATATATTTTAAATTTGTTTCCAAATAGGAAATGTTCATTCATTTCATCATACTCATTAAAAGAATGATAATCAAATTGTTCCGTTATAAATTTTTCTTTGCTTTTTGTTAGTTACCTTTGCCAAACAGTTGAACCAAATCCCTAAAATCCTGCTGAGTATGCATAGAGAGAAGAAATTACAGTCTGTGTTTCCGTCACCTCTATGGTCCCGTTAAACTGCACAGTAGCCTAGCCTGTCCCGGCCAATTTGCAACATGTCTGCGCTGTTCTGAGAAAAGGGGCCGCTGTTTAATAACCTTATTTCCTTTGCTATTACGGCTTTTGCTCTTCTACATGAAATATTTTCCCATTAAATAGACATATTGGCAAGATTTTGGTACAGATAGTAGTTTCCTAGCCATGCACTTAAGTGTTCCTTTTAATAGGTCTGGAATCACTCAGGAGGTATGCAAACCTGGTGCTAGACGTGGCCACTGAGAGAGGCAGAGTTGATGGATACATAAACCACTCCCTGATACCTGAACATCTCCAAAATCCATTTCTTATGACAGCAGGACATCATTGGCAAATATCTCCCTAGTGGAATAGCACCAGCCTGCCCAGCTTAGCTCAGTGGCTCTCTGGCAGAACATTAGTTGAGGCTGATAGAATAAAGAAGGAAGGAATTGAAATACTTTCTTCTTATTAAAAATGCTATTGCATTAATTTAAACTTGCATAATTTAAAATTTATATTGAGAAAGTAAACTTTANATTAAAAATGCTATTGCATTAATTTAAACTTGCATAATTTAAAATTTATATTGAGAAAGGAAACTTTATTAGTTTACAAATTGCCTTAGTATTCAAAGTACATTAAAAAGTAACAGAATCTATATATGTACACAATTTCTATGTACTTGAGCACTAAGGGCCAAGGTAGATTTGACTTGTCTTAGGGCTACTGGGGTTGAACCCAGAGACCAGCCTCACCCTGATACCCCGACAGTCATAGCTCAGATGACCGCTCACTGATACTCCTAGTCTTCTACTAGAAATGTGGGTTTAGTTTAGGGCCATATCCTGAGCTCTGTAGCAGTGCCTTCGTCATGGTAGGCACTAATAATTATTTATTAAATGAATGGATTTGAGGGCCCTGTTTGAAATGACCTATTTTCATGATGTGTTAAGATTGTAAGAGTGGGATTTGAACTTGATGTCATTGTAAGTGTAGGGAGCGCCCTGTGTTTGCTTGTGTCTTCTTCCTATAGCGATTGTTACTAGTTTTTAGCTCATTGAGGTCCCTGGGGAAAAACAAGGACAGGGACACTACATTCTCGGGTCATGCATTGCATTCAAGAAATTACGTGACGAGAATTGGGAAAATAGGAGGTATTGTAAGATCCTACTGAGTTTAACAATTTTCTGTAGAGTTGACCAATTGTAGTATATATTAAAAATGCACTGTTGGTGTTAGTGGTGATGATGATGATAAGATTGATGCCAACGTTTCTTTTAAAGTATATGGCTTCCCCATCCTTAAGGTTTGAAATGTTTCTGACAGGCCCCACAGGGCCCTGTATGACGTGGTCCACTTCNATGGCTTCCCCATCCTTAAGGTTGGAAATGTTTCTGACAGGCCCCACAGGGCCCTGTATGACGCGGTCCACTTGCTACCTTCCCAGCTTCATGCAATGATATTCTTCTGGTTTACTCTGCTGGGGCCACACCGGGGGCTTAGAATAGTGCTTTTAGCTCCTTCTCAGTACAGGGCCTTTGCCTATGTTGTACATTGTTCTTTCTGGAACTTTATGAGCCCTTAATGGTAAACTCCTGCTCATCCAGATTTTAGCTTCAAGTGACTTCTTCAGAAAAGATGTCCCAACACCCCAATCTTGTGCCTCTCCCTCATCCCGTCCCTTGTTGTAACTGGGTAATTGTGTGGCTAGTGGTTTAACCTGTCTTTCTTCTCTTGGCATCTGAGCTTTTGTCAGGCAGATGTCTGGCTTCTTTTTACCTCTGCACAGGGCTTTTCCAGAGAGCGTGGCCAACAGTACATGCTCAATAAATATTTGCTGAAGCAATGAATGTCGAGTCATCCAAAGTTCAGTTAAAACGTTTTGTTTTCTGTTTTCTCTCTTTAGCTGGGAAGTTATAAATTCCAAACCAGATGAAAGACCCAGGTTCAGCCACTGCATTGCAGAATCATGGATGAATTTCAGCCTATTTCTTCAAGAAATGTCTCTTTTCAAACAGCAGAGCCCTGGCAAGGCAAGTTTTCCAGTCTAAGAGAAGTACTTTGTGTGCTTTAAAATGTGCAGTAAACTTAGAAACAAATGAATTAACTTATTTTATCAGCTTCTGAGTGTTCTCCAATTCAGAACATAATCTACAAGGAACACATGCCATTAAAGCTGATATCAGCAAGGTTCAGGATCATTAATGTGTTAGACTAGAAAAACTTCAACCTCATATTTTGAAATTGGATTGTTTTTCTATTTTTATACCTATTTATCTAGCTCCTTAATTAAAATGAATGGTGACTGGTCTTGTCATCCAGAACAAGAAGAAAAAATATCTTATTAAGAATTTCAGTTTATAGCGTTCAGCCTGGTTCTGAAGTCAAAGGGAGATGAAATGAACACATAGCCCTTTGAACGGGCTTTCAGAAATAATTGAGTCTTACTTTTAATCTAAAAGTGGAGTTTCTTATTTATTTAAGAAAAAAAACCTTTGGCAAAAATATTCACAGTGATTATATAAGTGGAATGAGTATTTTTCCAAGATAAGAAAAGAACCTGGAGGAGAAGAGTCCTAAGTGGTTTGAAGGGATTACCTGGAGAAGCGCACACTCTTGGATTATTTTTGTGTGTAGAGGCTTCAGCTGTGACCCTGATAGTAAGGGTGAGGTGCAGAGTGATCAGTGGGCCGTTTCCCTTGCAGTGCTGTGTTCAAGTTTCTTGAACATGCACCTGTAGTTGGAAGGAAGAACCTAGGAATGTCGGCCTTTACAACCCCTCTCGTTGTACCATGTACAGGCACTCTCTTAACTTCAATACTAATACTAAATAATACAACTATGCTTGGATACATTTTGAGAATATTACAGTAGCAAGGTTGTATAGGGATGGATTTAAAAAAATTTTTTTTAGTTATTTTTGTTAATCCTTACCTGATGATATTTTGTCCATAGATTTTTAGAGACAGTGGAAGGGAGAGAGGGATGGGGTAGGGCAGNATTTTGTCCATAGATTTTTAGAGACAGTGGAAGGGAGAGAGGGATGGGGTGGGGCNTAGAGACAGTGGAAGGGAGAGAGGGATGGGGTAGGGCAGAGAGAGAGAAAAACATGAGTTGGTTGCCTCCTGCATGCACCCTGACCTGGGCAGAGATCGAACCTGCAACCCAGGTATGTGCCCTTGACTGGGAATCGAACCTGTGACCCTTCAGTGTACAGGCCAACACTCTAACTACCGAGCCACACCGGCCAGGGCTATGGACTGATTTTTAGAGCAGGTAGGGTGTGTGTGCATTTTATATACCGATTTTAACAAAATGGTTAAACATTTTTAGGAGATTCTGAACTTAAAGCTTCACTGGGCCCCAAGTCAGTTAGCTTGCGAGGATGGTGCTACAGATTTAAGGGATAATATGAAATCCCTTCGCAAAACTGAATTCTGAATATACTAATGGTTTTATAGACTTATTAGTTCTTTCAAGTTTTAAGGTCTTTTTTCCATTTTACTACTAGAATGCCATATTCTTCAACGGCCCTGCTCTTTCAGAAATAGCTGTTAATTTAGTTCTGCAAGTCCATCAGTTCTCTTTTGACTTAATAAATTAACCCTATGCCAAAGAACAATCAAAGTTAATCTGACTTGAAGACCCCCTTGCTCTTTGTCTTATCAGTTATTGATCAGTTACAAATACCTTATTTGGGTGTCTTTTTCAAATTTTCTTATTTTCTTTGCTTATCTGTTTAATACCATAATTTACGATAAAGCAAAATAAGTAAGATAGTTTATTTTTAAGATTAGAGTGTGGAAAATATGTGAAGACTTTATGGGATAATTTTTCTATCTTTACGTTTAAATTTTTTAAAACAACCAAGATTTTGCCCGGCTGGCATGGCTCAGTGGTTGAGCACAGACCTATGATCCAGGAGATCATGGTTCAATTCCCGGTCGGTGCTCATGTGCCTGTTGCGGGCTCAGTCCCCAGTGGGGGGCGTGCAGGAGGCAGCTGATGGACGATTCTCTCTCATCATTGATGTTTCTCTCTCTCTCCCCCTCTCCCTTCCTCTCTCTGAAATCAATAAAAACATATTAAAAACAAAAGAAACCACCACCAAGATTTTGGAGGGTCATGACTGATAGGGGTAAATAATCACATTTCACCACAGGCATTTCGTTTCATTTACAGTTGGTGTCTAGGTGATGTAGAAGTGGGGTCAGTCTGATACAGTTCGGCAGGAGGATGGCAGTGGCCAGTAGAGTTACCCCAACAGTTTATCAGCTGTGCAAATTACCATTACGTTTACAGAAATGCCTCTAATTTCTGTAACATGTTTTGCTGTGTTTAAGCATTTCAATGGGCTTGTAGAAGTAGTTTGAACTTTCAGGTTTAGCTACCAGGCTGCTTATATTCAGTGAGTGACCCTGAGTAAAAAAAGTTTCTGGGGGCATATAAATCTTCAGTCCCCTTGCATCTGGCAGTACTACAGCCACAAGCATGATTAATGGGAGACACCGCCCGCCGTGCCAGGAATTAGCTTCTGGAACATCTAAAGGATTATTTCCAAGTGTGAAAACGGACTAAGGCTGGCTGAACACTGCAGTCATTAGTCAGAACTAAGGGCAAAAGAACACTGAAAAACATTTGCCGTGTTATAATAGATCACACATAGAAAAACAATTGTGTGTGTATCCCGCGCTCTGGAATGTCTTCTTGTCATGAGTAACTGTCACATGTTGTTTCTCCGATTTCTAGTTTTGTCTCCTGGTCTGCAGCGTGTGCACGTTTTTTATGATCTTGGGAAGTTACATTCCTGGGGTTATTCTCAGCTATCTACTCTGTAAGTATAGCAGAACATTTGGCCAATTTATGTGATGCGCGTGGTATCATTTAATGGTCAACAAGACCTTCCGGAGTTTAGAAGAGGAGGGATGAGTTCTTAATTATAAAGAAAGTTGATTACTCTTTAATTTCCACTTGTCCAAAGTTTCTCCTTTTCCTAGAGATCTGTTTATATTTTAAAATTGGAAGAATAGTTACCAAAAGGCAGGCTTATAAGTGATTCATTCTAAGTGATATCTTAAAAGCTGTAAATAAGCTATACTCCCCACCCCCCAGACACACGAATATCTTTGTCCTTGTGCATGTTCTGTGGCTCAAAAAATAGTTAAACCACAGTGAGATACCATTACATCAGAATGGCTAATGTTAAACATGCTGATCACATCAAGCATTAGCAAGGATATGGAGCAACTGGAATGCTCACATACTGTTGACGGGTAAGTAGAATGGAACAACCACTTTGGATAACAGTGTGGTAGTTTCTTGAAAGCTACTATATGTCCTAGCCATTCCACAGCTAGGTGTTTACCCAAGGAAAATGAAAGCATATTTCCACAAAAGACTCGTCCATGAATGTTCATAGCAGCTTTATTTGTGATAGCCAGAAATGGAACACAACTCATATATTCCATCAACAGATGTATGGATAAACAAACTGTGGTGTATACGTACAATGGATTTTTACTCAGCGCAAAAAAATTAATCTGTGCAGCAATCTGGATAAATCTCAAAATAATTAGATTGTGTGGAGGAGGCAGATTTTTTTTTTAAAAGAGCATATACTGTATGATTTCATGTTTATATCAACCAAACTAATTTTTAGTGACAAAGTAGACCAATGGTTGCCCAGGGATGAGGTAGGAGAGGCCAGGGAAAGGCAGGAAGAAAGGATTAATAGAAACAAGTGGAAACTTGGGGGTGGTAGATATGTTCACTATCCTGATTGTGGTGATGGTTCCTTAGTTGTATGCATGGGTCAGAACTTATCAAATTGTGCAGTTTAAATCTGAGCAATTTACTGTACATCAACTATAATTCAAAAATGCTGTAAAAAAGTTTAGATTTCCTGCTTCTGAAAAATATGATTTAGTGCTGCCACCCTTCGGTGGTGTGGGCACACTCCATTTAACCCTCAAATTTCCCTATTTTTCTCACACCAGCTTCTAAAAATTACACATACCACCTTGGCTGCTAGAGGTATTTGAGTTTGCAGCTCCTATTTAAAAGGTAAATAGGCACGTTTCCTAACAATGACAAAGAAATAAATGTTAGGGAGGACAACACAACCTTCATTTCTTTTTGTATTCCTAACGCATAACACAGATGGCAAATGGTCTGGGCTCAGATCCATTCTCCCAAGTAGAGCGCATATAGAATATCAGCCTCTGGGTCTGCCTTGTTCAACAGGTAAAGGAGAAGAGAGCGGAGAAGAGAGTCTAATAGGGCAAGTCCTTATTCAGGTGGTTTGCATTCATCTCATTTATCCTTCACAACAGCCCGGAAATAATGTTACTATCCCAATATGACTGACAAGAAGCAAGTGGATCATAACGTTCCCGTGGTACAGTGGCATTTAACTTAGCAGTAGAGATTTTAATCCACTACTGTTGTCTGGAAAGCATGGAATCTTTGTATGAATTTTGAGGGTGAAAGGATCGAAGGGAGGGAGTTGATCTAATTGCAAGTCTTTGAAAACGACTTTGCAAACAACTATAAACACGGTATGTGTGTGTGTGTGTGCACATGCGTACGTGCATGCGTGTAGGAATAAATGTTTTTATTTACAGGGAAGAATTGCAATTATGAACTTATTCCACAGAAACATTTCCCTTAGACAAGAACTTCTATTTGTCAGTAAGGGAACTGAAACATTTTTGTGAACTACAAAGATGTAGCCTTTTGAAATAAAGATCCCCTCCCTCACACTCTTGTCCTTCTTATATTTCAGTACTGTGTGCATTTTTGTGTCCACTGTTTAAGTGCAACGATATGGGACAGAAACTGTACAGCAAAATCAAGTCAGTTCTGCTGAAACTAGATTTTGGAATTGGAGAATATATTAACCAGAAAAAACGTGAGCGATCCGGTAGGTGAAATTTGACTTAGATTCCACACATGAAATGAGACATCAGCGGGCTATTGATTATGAAATCACCTTCAGTCTATTTCGGGGTGTTTAGCCTTGTACAGCACATTATTACAGGAGCCAGTCCCCCCAGAGTAACATACCCTTTTCCTATTTAGACTTTTATTCTTTTCTGAAACATACAATAAATCTACTTTCTAATTAATTGTCAGGGGAGGGAGAAAAGGATTCAGACATTCTGTATTTGCTACTTTTGATTTACTTTCTTTAATTTGCTTTATTTTGGGGCAGGTTATTGCAAATAAAAAATGGCACAGGTAGGACTAGGAATGTGGGAACCTTATAAGAGGGATCAAAAGAATAGGAAGGGAAATAAAACACAGAGGAAAAAGCAATGTGATCAATTTTTACTTTTTAACGTGTCCTCTGGCCATGTGGATTCTCAAACTATAGCAAGCACCACAGCTGCCTGAAGGCTGTTAAAGCATCGGTTGCTGGGCCCACCAGAGCTTCTGATTCAGGTGGTCTAGGGTCAGGCCTAAGAATTTGCATTCCTAAGAAGTACCCAGTGGTGCTGATGCTGCTGGTTCAGGGACCACACTGTGAGAACCATTGACATGGACCATTTCCCTTGGAAATCAGACCTTTGCAAATATGTGAAACGTGTTACGTGCAAACATTTAATTCTGTGGAAGCACCGAAGAAAATGAGGAATGTGAGTAAGGATATGTAATGGGTAAAATACACTATGTCTAAGCTGGCCGGGAAACTGAAAGCTGCTAAATTTTTTCTCAACAGAAGCAGACAAAGAAAAAAGTCACAAAGATGACAGTGAATTAGACTTGTCAGCTCTTTGTCCTAAGGTATTTTTTTGTTTAGTTTTTCGATTTGTTCCTGTGTAGTTTGACTGTAAATTGATTTAAAGCGGGATGATTTTCCCAGTAGACTCCTGTTTCTCTAAGATGATTGAACAGTTCTGAAAGGAAAAAATACTCATCCGGTTTTTATTATTCCGACATTTTTGGTGTTAGTATGGAGTTTTCAAAAGATTTGCCAAAAAAGTTTAGAATGTGCCACTGGTATTTATATTAATACAGATTAGCCTCACGGTGGCTGCCAAAGAGTTGTCTGTGTCCGACACAGACGTGTCCGAGGTCTCCTGGACTGACAATGGGACCTTCAACCTTTCAGAAGGATATACTCCACAGACAGACACTTCTGACGGTATGCTCACATTTCTTTTAAAATTATTATTATGATTGCATGCAGAAATATTTAACTCTGTCCACTGCTGAATGAATAAACAAAATGGGGCTTATCTGTACAATGGACTATCAGCTAAAATGAAGTATTGATCCTTGCTACGACATGGATGAACCTTGAACAATTAGGCAAAATGAAAGAAGCCAGGCATACAAGTCCACATATATTGTATAACTCCATTTATGTGAACTGTGCAGAATAGGCAAAGCCATAGATATGGAAAGTAGATGCATGGCTGCTATGGGGCCTTGGGAAGAGGGAATGGGGAGCGACTGGTAATTAGTATGAGTTTCTTTTTTCTTCTTGGAGTTATGAAAATGTTCTAGAATTAGATAGTGGTGATGGTTGAACAGCTTTGTGACTATATTAAAAACCACTGAATTGTATACTTTAAAGGGGTAAGTTTGATAGTATATGAATTATATCTCAAAAGCTATTATTTTTTGAGTATGAGAAAAAAAATCTACGCAAGTCAATGTCTAAAATATGCCTTTATTTTTAAAACAAGTAAATATTGACAGTGAACAAAATTAACTTCCCAAATGTCTGGGGACATTGTTTATAGCAATAATGGGAGGATGGGAAGAGAGATGCCAGTCCCCGCATATCCAGGGCTAGCCCTCATTCCCAGACACTGAGCGTGGGGGGCAGGTTCCCTGAATCCAGAGCTGACTCCAAGGTTCTTCATGTTTGTTTTCAAAGTTAGTTTAAAAATAAACAAAAACTCTCTGATTTTTTTTTAAAGGGTATACTTTTTATTGAGATATAACTCACCATAAAATATATCCTTTAGATATGTACAATTCAGTGGTTTTTAGTATATTAACTATGTTGTATAACCATTATCACTATCTAATTCTTGAGCATTTTCATCACCCAAAAAAGAAACCCCATACTCAATGGCACCCACCAACCCTAGGTAACTACTATGGATTTGCTTATTCTGGACATTTCATATAAATAGAATCATATGACATGTGTTCTGGTATATTTCTTTTTTTTTGCCATTTTAAATATATATTTTTTAATTTAATTTTTGTTTAAAATATTACAGATGTCCCTTTTTCTCCCCAATGACCCGCTCCACCCCATCCCTTTCCCCTCCCCAGTCCTTCTCCCCACCATTGTCCATGTCCTTGGGTTGTGCATATATGCATATAAATTCTTTGGTTACTTTCTCTCCCTCCACCCACCCGCCCTTCTCCATCCCTCTGACATTCTTCAATCTCATCTATGCTTCCATGTCACTGAATCTATTCTGTTCATCAGTTTATTAAGTTCTTTAGATTCCACGTATAAGCGAGATCATGTGATGTTTGTCTTTAGCTGCCTGGCTTATTTCACTTAGCATAATATTCTCCAAGTCCATCCATACTGTCCCAAAGGGTATGAGATTCTCCTTCTTTATAGCTGCATAGTATTCCATGGTGTAAATGTCTCACTGATTTTTTTATAATTACGTTAAATACAATTTAAAATAAATTGAGAGACAACACTCGTGCAGTTACTTTAGTCTCAGTGGATTATTTCAAGTCATCTTAGTCATATAGTGAAAATATGAACAGGTTATAATGGAGGATTATGAATGGTCTTCTGCGTACTTTTACAAGCAAGAACACACTGTCTTTTTCTAGAGGAAGAAGGGAGGCTATGCAGGGTTTGAAAGGAGACAGGTTTGGGGACTGGGAGACTCAAGTGTTGGCTTGCCTTTGTAATCAGCTAACTGTATGACCTTAAATTTGTGTGGACCTCAGTCTCCTCCTCTCTAAAATGCATTAGAACAAGGGGATCCCTGAAGTCCACTGAAGCTTACAAGCTCTAAATACCCACAAGACCTGGATAACAAGCACTGTTTTTCAGCGTCCCGTCTCAGATTTACACAGTGAAGGACAATGACAGTCCAACCCACAGATGAGATTTTTCAGTAGTTAATCTGAAGATTTCAAACCACTGTTGTAAAGAGTTAATCTTTATACTGAAAGATTTCTCCAAAAAGTGAAAAACAATAAAATCACTGTCTGCCTATGAACCTGGCATTGCTTTCAGATGTCCCAGATCTTACCAGTGTTCCTATATGTATTCAGGACAGGAATTTGGTTAAAATGGTATGATCAATTTCAACTATTTAAAAATATATATATTTTACCGATTTTTAGAGATAGAGGAAGGGAGAGGGAGAGAGAGAGAAACATCAGTGTGAGCGTGAAACATGGATCTGCTGCCTCCTGCACACCCCCTACTGGGGATTGAGCTGTTTTATGTAAGGCCAAATGTTTCCATACGCTCTGAGGTTGAATATGTAATGGAGGGAGCAAATCTCTTCTAATTCACTGCTTAAACACAGGTTACAGATACTCAGATCTCCATGGATGAAAATGCTGAGGTTGGATAATATTGCCCATCTGCTGTACCACATACCACGAAAACATCCAATTGAAACATTTTTTATTCTGTGATCATACACATCCACATTGGCTTAAGCTAATTTCCTCCCCAGGGGCAGGATGACATTTTTGTTTGTGGTAAATGTTTAAACTTTAGTCAAAAGCCTCAAGCTAACCTTAGACAGGTTGAATATTGTCATTTCATACACTGCTTTGTGCTTACAAGGAGAGTTAAAGACATGTAATATTTTCCTACTTGTGGAGGGACGGCGTCCCAGATTTGGGAGGGGTCCAATGTGTGTGGTTACCTTGATTTAAAGGGAACCAGGAGGCTAGGTGAATGCCAAGGTTGCTCAGAGGGTTCAGATTAAGATCAGATACCTTTTAGGCAGCACTTTTATTTCAAATTTATGATGGTGCTTAAGCATGAACTTCTGTTATACATTTCACAGATCTTGACCGACCTAATGAGGAAGTTTTCTCTCGAGGCCTCTCAGATTTTCCATCTCTAGAAAATGGCATGGGAACAAACGATGAAGATGAGTTAAGCCTTGGCTTGCCCACTGAGTCCAGGAGGAAAAAGGAACAGTTGGACAGCGGCCTCAGACCCAGCAGAGAGAGGCAGTCACCAGCGGGTCTCACTCTTCCTCTGAGCAGTGACCAAACCCTTCAGCTGATGAGCAACCTGGCTGGGGACGTCATCACAGCTGCAGTGACTGCTGCTATCAAAGACCAGGTAGAGGGCGCACAGCAAGCCCTGCTGCAGGCTGCGCCAAGCCCTGGCGAGGACACAGACACTGAAGAAGGGGATGACTTTGAACTACTTGATCAGTCAGAGCTCGATCAGATTGAGAGCGAGTTGGGACTTTCACAAGACCAGGAAGCAGAGGCACAGCAAAATAAGAAGTCTTCAGGCTTCCTTTCAAATCTGCTCGGAGGCCATTAGTCTGGGAATCAGCATGTACGACAGAGCACAGATAAACTACCAAAAAATTCAAACAAGCAAAAAAAAGGAAAAAAATGTTTTTGAACTGTGAGCTTTACTGATTACTTTAGATTATTTTGTCTTATTTTCCCTTCTGCAGTGAATTAATTGGATATATATCAGCTGACATTGATAGATTGATATCTGATAGTTATTTTTATGTAATAAGCATGGAAATGGAAAAGATATATATATATACAATTGACCCTTGAACAAATGGGTTTGAACTGTGCAGGTCCACTTAATTCATGGATTATTTTCAATAAATACTATAAATGTATTTTCTCTTCCTTTGATTTTCTTAGACATTTTCATTTTTCTAGCTTACTTTCTTGTAAGAATACAGTATATAATACATATACAACATGTGTTAATCACCTGTTTGTGTTATCAGTAAGGCTTCCGATCAGTGGTAGGCTATTAGTAAAGTTTTTGGGGAAGTCAAAGATATATGAAGATTTTTGACTGTGCAGGGGGTCTGTGCCCTAACGTCCGCATTGTTCAAGGGTCAACTCTGTGTGTGTGTGTGTGTGTACATACACACACACATATATACACATATGTACACACATACTGTGTTTTCAGAGATGAATATCAGGGGTTGGTTTTAAAGCAAAAAGAAAACACAAAATTATTGAGCTCCTTCCATAAGTACTCCTTACTTTTTCTTTACAATTAATTTCTCAAGCATGCAAGAACAGTTTATTGTAACTCACTGAAATATTAACAGTGAATTGTGAATACATGCTGTATCAGCCCCTCTGTTCCTACTGCTTGGAAACATAAATATTTTTGGTGGGTTTTGTTGCAAAAAGACAAATTATTGAGGCATCTTTGGTTTGAGACTTGGGAAATAATATCAAAATTAATTTCCTAGGAAAAATTCTTAAAATATGTTTCACTCCTTTGGATAGGCTGGTACATTTCCATGTTGTTTCTGCAGTTGTAGACTTAGGCTTACTTGTAAATGGCATGCTCCATGTACTGCCAGCTCTAGTCCTGCAATGGGTGGTATTAACCCGTAGAAAGCAAGTAATTATATATCACATAGGCGGTTGTAAACAGATTGGGCTCTGTTTTGTGGTTCAATTGTCATGTATTTGTAATAGGGATATTGTGAGTGCAGATCTGTTCTGCCTGCGCAGATCTAGGTTAAGCCCTCGTCTTTGATACAGTGTCATGGAAAAAAAGTCTCTTAAAATCATGAAACTGGTTCCTGGTCTGTTCTGTGAGTGACGTGGTCATCAGCAGTAGAGAAAAACAACTTTCTGTAGTCTGTATAGATTTCCTACAGGAGGAAAATTTGCTTGGCTTTCAAGTGTATTTATTTGCCATTGAAGTCTAAATATTTAATCTGTTTCTCATTGGGAAACTAGAATATATTTTTCCATTAATTTAAATTTTTTAGATCACCTTTAAATAACCAAATTCGACTTAGGTTTTTAACAAAGGACTAAAGAGCAGACATCAAGCTAATTTTGTTTTTGTGACGTAACTTTTAATAGTGTTGAGGGACCGCGTCAGCAATACCAACAATGTCTTCAATCTTCGGGTACAGCTGGCGTTTCTACAGATGCATAGACATCTGAGACCCTCAGAAAGGAAGGGTAATCCAAGAATATAGGACATCTGTGGTCCCCTCTCTTGTTTTATTCCTTTCCTTATATTTCTAAAGCCTAATTATACAAATCTGACATTTTAATGTAGCATCTTATTTATTTTTATCTTTCTGAAGTATTAAAATATCTAGACTGAATTTTGCCAAATGTTAATGGGAGAGAAGTTACTGAAGACTTTGAACACCTGCTTTTTGTGACTATGCTTATGTGTCATTAGTGCCTCATGACTGTGTTTGATGTCCTTTATTGATATAAAGTGAACCTGTGCCTTCATGATCTTGCCCATTTTGGTACAAAAGAAAACTTGGTGTTAGATCTATGAACTGTGTGCATTTGGGAGGACTATACCCGAATTCTATTCAATAAGAGTTTCTGGACATGAAGAAAAATACAGTCACATATTTATAAAATAGTTGTGACCAGGATTCTTTTATTTTTCTTTTACGTGTATGTTTCTTCATTAAAAAAAATATATTTTTGGCCATAAAGTCAAAAAGTTTAGAGGTCATTTCAGTTTCTCCATTGAGGGGAAAATAAGGAGTTAAATAATCCAAGTAATTAGAGAATGTGTTACAAGTCCATGGACAAGCTTACAGGAGAAGATAAACTCAAGAGTTGATGGTATGAACAATGCACTAGAATCATGTTATTAACTGTAAATCAAAAGGGTCTTAGGGATAGGGAGCAGATGAGGATCGGGAGGGGAGGAAAATGTGTTACCAGCACTATGAGACATACCAGCTCTCTCTGGACAGTGGCATCATGACCGTATACACTTCAACATTATGTTTAAGAATGTTACAAATTTACACATGCAATAATGGTGTTTTTTTTTGGTTTTTTTTCAATAATGGTATTCTTAATTCAAACAGGGAGGTCAAAGGTTTTTGTTTTGGGTGTATCTATGGTTTTTTTGGTGTTTTTTTTTTTTTTTTTGGTGAGGGAGCATTATACATAACCTTGTTTCCGATTTTAAGATATAGTAACAATAAACCCTGTGATTGATCCGGTACATTGGGGGACTACATATCCCTTACTGTGAGGATTGATTCAGTCACTAAAATTTGAAGCATGGATTTTTTTTTTTTTAATTATAGAAGAGTTGTAGAAAAAGGTTTTGCTCATGTCCTACAGAAAATGCTAAGCAAAATCATACAATGGGAATAGCATATGTTGATTATGCATTTTGATCTGAAACAATAAAGCAGGGCCCAAGAAGGTCAAGTTTGCTTTGGAAGGTCAACCCAGGGTTAAAGCAGTGTTTATATTTTCATTCTGAAACATCTTTGCTTTTTCTTACCTTAAAAATTTTCAAAAGTGATTTTTAAAAAATCGCCATTCCCCAGTTTAGTATTCTCTTAAGAAAAGAAACTTGTATAGGTTTTACAATTGGCAAACATCCTCAACATATTTAGGCATCTCCCTCCAATATTTGAAGTCAGTGCAATTTCCTTCGTTTTCAAAAAGTGTCAAATGCCAGCATACTACTGATTTTAGGTAAGAAGCAAATCTGCATTTAAGAAAAATGTAATTTAGGTTGATATAGTCTTTATACTGCTCAAACTATATTAGTTATTCAACAGAAATGATTCTGAAAACCCTTACTAAACTGTTGTCATAGGTCATTAGTTATCATGATGAAGTTACAAAGTCCCAGAACTATATTTTTGGGTATTGTTCCTCCATTTCCACCAAAGCATTTTAGTTAGGACGGAATGTCAGAAGTACAAGTTCTGGTTTGGATGTTAATATTATGGCCCTGAGATATAATGTCAAAGTCACATAACATCTCCAGACCACCACCTCAATTTCCCCAAACAAAATTAGGAAGCTAATTCTTATCTTCTCACACAGCGATGTTTTGAGAATGAAAAAAAAAAAAATCTGAAACACTTTCAGGGGATAAAAAAGCTGTATAAAACCAAGATAGTGATTTTTTTTCCTGCCTGTGTTTCAACTAGGCCATCATTTTAAACATGAAAACAAAGTCAATAAACAAGTACCTGCTTTCTAAGTTTCTTTTAATGGGCCTCCCACTTTATTGGCCTCATAACCCAATAAATGCTGTGGAACAAAGGATGAAACTTTTGCAGAAATGTCTATTATTTCGGTTAACTCTGGCCCATGTGTGAAATGTTTCACTAGTCATTTTTAATGATTCTAACACTTACTGGCTGTGGGTCTCTAAGTCACCTAACATCTCTGTACCTGTTTCCTTTATAAAATTAAGATGGAACACCTACCTCATAATATGTTATGAGGATTAAGTAGCTAAGACAGGCTAGCAAACTATGGTCCATGGGCCATATCTGGCCTGCAACCTGTTTTTGTATGGAATACCAGCTAAGACTGATTTTTTACATTGTAAAATAGTTGAAAAAAATCAGACAAATATTTCATGACGTGAAAAATATATTAAATTCAAAATTCAGAATTCATAAAGGTTTTATTAGAACATGCCACACTCATTTATGTATTGCCTATGTGTTCATGCTATAACACAAAAGTTGAATAGTTGTTACAGAGAACAAAGGCCTAAGCCTACAAAGCCTAAAATATTTGTCTCACCTTTATAGGAAATCAATTACAGTTAGGATCATGTGTAATCTTCATAACTCTACCATTAAGTGGTAGTAAGAGCATTTTTTCTTTTTTAGCCCACAGTCACATAGCTAGTAAGGGGAGCATCCAGTTTGACCCTAATATCTATTCTTTCTAATAATTTTAAACAGTTTAACAAAATTTCACTAAGTATTAAAGACTGATTTTACTTATTTAGATTAATTTTTTTCAAAGAATCTAGCAACCATCTGATCTATACGTTTTAAATGCTATAATAACCAGGTTTTCCTGTAAAGTCCAATTCCTTGTTAATTTAAAAATGAAACTTTGTATATCTAGATATACAAAAAATTAAGAGGCGGTAAAATGTTTTAATATTGTTTATTGAACACTGCGCCTGTGCCTGTCGCTGGGGGTCAGGCTGCAGCACAAGAGCACATGGGGGGGGGGTGTTGTTTATTGAAAATCACAATACTTAACATTTTTTATGAACATAATGCATAGAAGTTATAAACCACTTATTAACTGTTAGTTTTATATTCTATATCTGTTACCCCCAAAAGGTAACCTCAACCAACCGTATCTCCTTTACAGTTTTCCTTTTAAAAACCAAGTTGCCACCACAGTACTGGAATGTGAAAAGTAGTAAACCTGAAACAATCAAATACTGTGATCACTGTATCAGTGGACTTGAAGGTGACCTTATTAACTTTTTAAAATTTTGTAATGATCAGAAGTCAACATCGCAACATCTCCCAAGTCTGAAAAGGAACCACATCATCACGGTACTGCCACCGTGACAGTGTGCACCATGACATCAGCAGTTTGGTAAATTGAGTGAACTAAAGGGCTATGTCACAGTATCCAGAAGGAATTTTACTTTTCAAATCAATTTTTTTTTTCTTTTGCCATGGGCAGTCTCAGTTTAAATTCTTTAGTAGGATGACTTACATTCTTCAGCAGAAATTAGACACATTAACATAGTACTCGGGATATGCTGTGGAAATTTTACCTCCAAGGTCCGTTAGTCAATTGGCTCACATTTACCAAAGAGCTGTTGGCTACAGACCTGCTCCTTTCTTGCATTTTCCCAATCAGTCCCAGCTCCTGCTGCTGGGTCTGCTGGAGGCCCAGTTCTAATCCTGATGCCCATATAAACAGAAACACTTTTGAGTCCCTGCTGTTTATCAGATGAAGAACGAGCGAAAACCTCTATAATCCAACCCTTTACCCAGTGATACCTTGATACTTTCTAGTCTCATTTTCCCCTTTCCCTGTATCCTATGCTTCACCCAAACTAGACATAATCTTTTAAATATGTCCCTTATCTTCCTTCTTCCACAGTATTATTTTTCTACTTGCAGATGAAGTCCTCAAATTCCCCCTCCTCCAGGACCCATCTGAAATGGGTCAACTCCTTAATGAAAACTTTTCTCCCTAATTGATGAGATTTCTCTATTCTAAAGACCCCATTGCTCCTTTCTTTGTATTTTTCTTTTTTTAAATGTTTTTATTGATTTCAGAGAGAGGAAGGGAGAGGGGAGAGAGAGAGAGAAACATCAATGATGAGAGAGGGTCATTGATTGGCTGCCTCCTGCACGCCCCCTACTGGGGATGGAGCCCAAAACCCAGGCATGTGCCCTGATCCGGAATTGAACCATGACCTCCTCTTTCATAGGTCAACACTCAACCACTGAACCACGCTGGTGGGGCCTTTCTTTGTGTTTCGTTGTGCTGGATCCCACCTTTATTTTATTAGTTAATTGTGTATTTCTTACCATTCATAACAGATCCCAAAATGAAAGTAGGGCTGTCTTAATTTAGAACTAGCTGAATACTATAATGGACAGATGATGTGATTTATAGTAAGAAATATACATTTGATCTTCCATTCCTGGCACGGAGTTCCTAAAAACCCTTGGAATTTCCTAAGTGAAGAGAGCTATAAAGGTGTCTTTTGTTATGTTAATGAGGTGACTTTTGGAAAGCCCCTAGATATCCTAGTCAAGACTGTATGGAACCACAAACTCTACAGGGACAGAAGCTCCTGTGTTTGGGACCCTTCCAGACATGGCTCCATGTTATTCCTTCAACCGCTGTTCATTTGTATCCATGACTGTCCTTTGTAATAAGCTGGTAACCTAGTAAGTAAACTGGTTTCCTGAGTTCTGTGAGCTGTTCCAGCAAATTAGTCAAAACCGAGAAGGGGGTCGTGGGAACTTGTGGCAGGTGGCACTGTCTCCAGGTGGAGCGTGTCCAGAGTGAGCTGAGATACAGGACACTCAGCTGGTGTCGGAGAACTGCTTGGCGACATGGAAAAAAACACACTGGAGATGGTAGAATGGGAGAAAGGCTATGAGAGAGACTGAAAACCAGGCAAAGGAATTTTAATTTCATCCAATGGGTAACAGACAACCATTCTTGAACAGAAGGGGTGACATAAAAGGAACAATGGCTGAGGAAAATTAGTCTGATGATCTCTACGTAGGGTAGGGGAGAGTAAGAGGAAAGATGAGGCTATCTAGGAGACAGCCGAAGAGCAGGGCATTGGAAAATGAGTGAGGCGGAGAAAACAATGCTCCTCTGAAAAGCAGCTGCAGAGAGTTCAGAGGTGCTGAAACAGGAGGGTCCTGAGAATGGACTGGAGGAGTAGGGAGCCCTAATGACCGGAAGAGTGAGCAGATGCTGGCAGAAGCCCATAAGAATGAAAACAGGAGAGGGTGAAGCCAGAAGTTCTTTACTTCACGTAACCAAGATTTAGTAGCAACGCGCGAATGTAAAATTTCATTAAATCTTTTGGATGATCACATGTTGAAATGAGAATATTGTGGATATATTACTGGGTTAACTAAAACCTATCAATCTTACCTCTTACTTTTTGCTTTTAAAAATCGTGGCTACTGTTCGATTTAAGATGGCACAGGTGGCTTGGACTAGATTCTCCTGGGCAGGGGCCGCCCCAGGAAGGCCAGGCTCCGGCCTGGACCCTCGGATTTTCCTGTGAAGTCCCTCAGCCTCAGGCCTGAGCGTCCGGTGTCCCCGGACTCCAGCCGAGCCGGCGAGGGCTCGGGTGGCGGACCCGCCGGCTGAACAGCAGCCCCGGTTTCGTGCCGTTGATTT